AGAGAGACAAATAGATAGAGACAGCCAGGCACGTGCACACATAGACATAAAAGGGGGCTTGAGCATCTGCCCTTTTTCTTCCTCGGGAAAAAGTGCCCTTTTTTTGGGGGAGTTTTTTTTAAAATAAATGAATATATGTATATATGCGTGTTTCTGTTTGTGCACAGCTTTCCCTGTCAAACAAATAAAAAAATCAAAATATCAGGTCGGGTCGGGAAATGTTGAGACTCTGTCAAGTTCCGATGCCTTTCAACCCTCCGCGTCTCCGCGCAGCACAGCAGTAGCACTCATTGATCGGCACATCACATCACAGACAGGCAGAGAGCCGCAGAAGTGAAGCCCGCGCAGCACAGCAGTAGCACTCATTGATCGGCACATCACATCACAGACAGGCAGAGAGCCGCAGAAGTGAAGCCCTTCCTCCCTTTCCAGTTGTGTTTGTCTTGGTGTGGAGGTGAGTGGTGATGAACAAAAGACTAATGCCGAGTTCACACTGCACGATTTTAGCCCTATATTTTACTCGCCGACGGGTTTTGCGAAATCGCCGACAAATGCCCGACATCGGAGGCAAATCGGTGCTCGTTCACGCGAGTGACAATCACGCAGTGTGAATTATCAAAGACGCGATCTGAGGGAATTGCCGATGCGTCGCCGACGCCCGCGAAATATTTGGCATGCTAAATATCTGGAGCTGCTTGCGCGGGTCCGTTTTTTAACGTGTCTTGACTGTCGTACAGTCTGACATTAATGACAACTGAGATTCCACAGTGTGACATGATCATCATGTTCGTACAGTCTGACAAGTACAATCCTAAAGGACTTTTAAAAATCGCACAGTGTGAGCCCAGCTTAAGACAATAGGAAGTCTAGTAGACCAGTGCGCCTTATTTCACTGCATGATTCAGTTTATTAAAATGCATTTAGAATGATCACAAAATTCAAGATATGGGGGCAGAAATGTATATATTTATATCATTTCATATAGTTAATCAGTATCACGCTAAGACTGACGTTTTTTTCCACCAAAAAGCAGCATGATTACAAATGTGATATTGATTTTATACAGCAGTTCAATAAACAAAAATTTAATATTAAAACACTTACGTTTTAGACACAATATAGACTGTTTTTGCTCAATTTCGCCAACATATATAATTCCAATTTGCATCTCTGAGCAACATGACGCTGTTTTGTTCCTGAATGAATCAACCGTTTAAATGATTCGGTTCAATCGTAATGACTCACTTATTAACAGTGACTTGCTGCCACCTACTGGCAGTTTTAACTTTACATTTAAAGTTTCTTTTCATTTTATTAAAAAATATTTTAAATATCAGTATTCAATGTTTATGTTTAAAATATCAAAACAGTATTAATGCATCTTTAACTGCAGGTTAAATGCATTCCTGTCCTGCATTAAACAGTGTGTAAATGCATCTAAATGCCACTTCAGATGCAGCTTCTGTGTTTCCTCTGCATTGCAAAGGTTAATTTTGTCAGTACTGATTTCATTTGCTTGGTAACAGCCCAAATGACTTATTATTCTAATTGACTGATTCAATTAAAGAATTTGACTGAAAAGATGATGCACACTTTTAAAAAAAGGGCTTTATAAAGGTAAAAATGCCCATAAAAGGTAAAAAAAAAAATAATTTTACTTATTGGAAAAGATTTTCTATCACTGCTGTGAACTGATTACCACACAGAATATGCAGAATATCAAAAACTTTAGGAGTCAGCTGTCCACGGTAGTCCTTAAGATATCAGCACAATAATCAAAATATCATCTTATTATTGTTATCGATAAAATCTCAGAAAATATTGAGATATATTTTTGGTCAATATCGCACACCCCTAATATATTTAACATTTTGTTTAGAAATTTTTTTAAATAAATATGAGAAGTGCCCTTTTTTTTCTACTTGAGCCCCTGCCCCTCAAAATGTCTGTGCACGTCCCTGGAGACAGCTGTGTTCAAACAAAAATCTCATTGGATTATTATATTTTAAAAATGAATTTTTGGAAATTGAAAACTGGTACTTCCTGGTATTATACAGGCACAGAAAAACAATACAATCTATATGTATATGTAAATACACACACGTCTGTTAAAAAATATATACTGTATAATATATATTTATATACAATATAAATCATATATAATTATGAATACATATATACGTGTAAATCTTTCTTAAATATAATCATGTACATGTGTGTATTTATATATACATATAAATATACACAGCACACACACATATATTATGTAAACACAAACTTCCTTTTTGGATGTGATTAATCACGATTAATTGATTTGACAGCCCTAATATATACATACATATTTCATTGAATATAGTCATATGCAGTAATGTATATATACATGTATATACATACATACATACATACATTCATACTGAACCCCAAATTCCTTACTATTTCCATTCCTTTCCTAGCCAATGCATTGCATTGACAAAAAAGTCTTCTGCCTCTTTTCCTTTACATTCCACAAAGTCCTGTCAAGAGACTTTGGGAATGGCATTAATACATACAATTATTGTAGAAACCCAGGCACAGCTCTGTAAACAGCGAAAAGAAGTCACTTACAATCTGAGTCTGACAATGCTGTATGAACTGGCAAATTTTAACAAGTACACTGTCTGAGAAACTTTATGCCAAGCACACACCGCCTAAGCCCAGAAAGCAGCAGGGCACAAGGCATTTACCCACACTTACTGTTGTTCTTTTTTTCTCATCAGCTCAAAAAATTTAAAATGCCTCCCGAAGGAAAATAAACAAGATTCGGCCCAGTGAAGACATCTGTCCTTCGAAAAGAATATAAAAGATCTAACTGTTTAAACAGCTGTGAGGATACTCGTCCTTTTGAACATTTTTGAGAGACAAGCACTGAAATAACACAATGCTTAGAGTCATGGCCCAAGGGTCAGATATTAGACAAATGACAAATCTCTTTCTGATGACACAACAGCATGTGTGTGAGGTTGTGTACCGGTTATCAGACCACATGAACCTAAACTCTGATTTACAGTTCATGAACCTAAATTATTCCCAAGCATAACACCTGTACTTACTGAACATATACTCTTTTTGAATCTTAAAGAAAAATAACATACAATAGTAATATATTATATAATAATAAATAAAGATAATCAATAAATCATATATATATATATATACATACATACATACATACAGACACACACATACATATATATATATATATATATATATATATACACACAGTATATACACTATATATATACATACATACACACAAACATATATATATATATATATTTATTTATTTATTTATTTTTTTTTTTTGAAAGGACAGTATGGCCCAATATGCAAGCATACACATACACACACTCACATACACAACCAAGTATAATTTGGCACATTGAGGTGTATGGATGCACCCAATCCTTTGTCTCAAAAAAGAGCATGTCGGTAACCCACTTCTAGATGAGGCGAAAACTTTTCTAAAAGAACCTTGATGTGGGGCTCTTTTTCCCTACAATATCTCTTCTACCTGTCAAAGTCAGTCATTATTTTTCCTATTGACATTCGTCTCTGATATAGCGTGGCTCATCAGCCCCCTCTGTCGTGTCTTTCATGTTGCAGGTTCTACCCCTCCGCCCCCACAAGGAGTTCTGATGTCCTACGAATTTAAGTTTGAGCGTCTGTTTTCCCCGTCCCGCTGCGCCGCACGAACGTGGGGTCCTTCACCACGGCGACCAATTACAGAGCAAGGTAATGAGCAGCCACGTTATCCTTACAGCCCAGATTGACACTCTCTCCCACTCATTTGTCAACAAATCAGGATGGATGGCGTGGGGGCGATATTGAGCCGGAGGTGTCGCACTCAGAGAAGCGGTTGCCGAGCAGCATCTCCTTCTCGTTATCATTGACAAGTTGTCTGGAGCTGAGAGATTTGCGAATCCTTCGCCTTTGTCATCTCAAGATCATTTGTTCGTGATTCGGTACTTATTCTGTGCATAGCCTAACGGTTATAGCCTACTCGGGTAGACTAGGCCTACTTTTGGCATTTATCTGTGGACTGCATGGGACTTATATAACAAAATCAGGAGCTGTAAGTTACACTTAACACATACAAACAAAACTTAAGTTTTCTGAAAGTCACGCAAGAAATAGTCGCAGATCTTAGTGTCCTCTAAGCTAGACCTATATTAATGTGTACATTGTTTACAACACATTCCAATAGCAGCAATAATTATTTAATAATAATAAAAAAATAAAGTAGACATGTTATAGATGTGAAGCAGTGGGCTTTGCACATGCTCAGGACATATAAGAGCTCTAGGCTGCTGTCCCAATCCCATTCTCCCTTCTCTTCTCTCACGTCAGCTTAATCTATATGCGCTATACTTTCCTATAAAAATAAAGGCAAAAAGACCTGCAAAATTATATAAAAATATTTAAGTTTAATATTAATGTTAAATAATAATGTTTAATATTTAAATATTATATGATATATATAAAACTTATACTATATATTTTATATATATATATATATATAGAGAGAGAGAGAGAGAGAAATTAATGATGTATATTATATATTACATAATGCATGTATATATTACATACATATGTTAACAATTTTATATATTTGACAACATGAAAATACATTATACTAATAAAACATAGCAATTTTACACTTTTACATATTTTTTCAATATTTAGGGGGGCTTTTTTTGGTCTTTGTGCTGTCTCTAAGCACACACACACACACACACACACATATATATATAACTCAGTTTTTATAAATTATCTTAAATCATCTTTTTTATTGTGTTAGATAGCTGTATTTTTTAGTTATTATTATTTAATTATATTAATTGGTATGCAGGACAAAAAAACATGATTTTTGAATGTCATTAGTTATCTGTTTTAGCAAATTACCTCTTCATATATAATATATATTTAAATAAACAGAATATCATGTGATATTAGATACTTACTTGGTTCTTTGTGCTCCTCTGGGCCAGATGAACCCTCTACCAACAGCCCAGACAAGCCAAAGAGCTTCTTCCCAGCATCCTCAGCTACCTTCAGGGTGTTTGGTGAACCATTAGGAACATGAGCACCCCCAAAGTCAAAATCTTTTCCCTCCACATCTGTGTAGCGGAGGTGGGGTGATGCCGCTGGTTCCAGACAGCCCTTCAAGCGCTTGGCAGGGAGGAAGGCAGACTGGTAAGCCCCCGCATCACGCTCCTCATGTGGGGAGGAGAACGGCCGGAAGGCCCCCACCGCTCCGTGGTTGAGCATACCCAGCGGTGAGCAGTCAAGATTGGGTGGGGCAAACTGTGGGTGAAGGTGGAGCAGAGGGGTGGGAAAGTCGCGAGTGGGAAAGCCTCCTTGCCGATGATACATGGAGGCAAAGGTGTACGAGCCGCTGGGGAACGGGAGGTGCATGTCCTTTTCCAAAGTGACCGGCACTCCAAACGGCCGAGGGGGCTGGCAGGGTACAGAGGCATCTCGTCCAGCCTCAGCTGTTGATGCCAAAACCATGAGGGCAGGGGAGGTCAGCGGGCTGGGCATGTAGGAGGAGTTATCCATCTTAAAGGCAGTCCGATGGAGGTCCATTTGAGCAATGAAGTGTCCACTCAAACTCAGTGTAATGTGATGAAGAGGCCTGAAGAGCACTCGACTCAATGCTTATAGACTTAAGTCTTACAGATCAGTCATTCTCTGACAGAAATCTGTTGAACAAAAAAAAAATCCTAGTCAGAATTATGATCCCAAAAACACAACTTCTGGTGGACAAAAAAAGCAGTTATTTAAATAAACAGGCAGACATTCCTTAAAGTCTATATTTTCATGCAGTCATTTTCTTTCTTTTAAAAAGCAAAAACATTTAGTAGCTAGAATAATTAGACCACAAATGAGTCCTTAAAGAAATACCTAATAGTGAGTGCAAGACGAACATTATTGTGTGAATTTAAACAAGGTGCTATTATCAGAAGTCTGTCCTTTAATACAAACTTTGTTAAACAAAGTTAAACAAAGGTTGAGCTAATTAATGAAATGCATTTTCATGAAAATAAATAAATAAATCACTACATAAAATTATTAGTTTAATTTATTCTTGTTTAGACTACCTGTCTCATGTATGGTGCTGGTGCTGCTGTTCTGCATTAATCTGCGTTTATCAATTCTAAACAGCTCTACACTTCCCTGTATGTTTTTTTTTTAATATGAAGCTAAACTTAATCTAAGATCTATTATTAGTCTTAATTTTGTGTTTGGCAATCCCACTTTAAATATTTTAAGATTAATGATGCTAGTGAACTTTTTGTATTGCTAATTTAAATGGATAAAATATTTAACTAGACATTTTATAACAATTTTAATACTGAATATATTGTTTTAAATAACGAGCTATTTAAATACACTCTCGGTCATTTGGAAATAATTGCGTATCTAAAGACATCAACAATAGCTCAACAATAGCCCATCATATTAATTATTATTTGTAATAATAATAACAAAAATAACAATGATAATAAATACATTGTAAATAATAAAAACTTTAAAACTTAATCCAAAAGTTAATACATATGGAGCAATTCATTATTTGTGCCTGTCACTGTTTTTATAATACAAATAAAACAAGTAAAAACCCTACAATTTTTACGAGTTCGTATAAGCGGTGTGAGTGATTGTCTTAAAAACGGTGAACAAACTTTTAAATATTAAATTTAAGAGGTGATATCTGAAATCTGCTTTACACTAAATTCGCTATAGTAGCCTACCATTCGGTTGCTGCCAGATGTTAAATTTAAACTTAAACTTTCTGATTTGAAGGTGTTATAAGTTGTTCAGATCACATGTGTTATTCCGTTCTTTGAAAGATGTAGGCTAATTATGCAGCTTTCACAAAAAAGTATTATCATACAACTTTTCTTGAAAACATGATCAATTTGATGCATCTTACACTTAAAGTTTTAGTGCACTCCGGAAAAGTTAACTCATAATACTCAGCATGCGACAACTAAACGTAGCTAAATGATCCTTTAAAAACTAAACATCTAGCTTAACACAAAAAGAAAGACTTGCGAAAACATATTGTCCAGCAAATATCACATTAGTAAAATATAGCAACAAAAAAAAAAAAACAGGACTTGTTGTAGTACTCACAATACTTTAGTCAAACATCTTTATCTCAGTCGGACATCAAACTGTTATTTTATCCAAACTCGAACCCAGATGATGTCAGTCAAAAGAGTTCGCAAATGACTGAAAGAAAAAGCGCGAAAAGACGCCTTAGAAACGCTTTTTTACGGGTTTGAAAAGAATCACGGAGGTTTAAAGAGTTGAGCTGTTTAGCGCGTGCCACCGCTGTGATGTAGATTATGTAGATGCGCGCGATGTGTCAACATCCGATCCGCGCGCACTTCTGTTAATGCTGGCGAGTCGCTCACTGTACTCGCTCTCTCTCTCCTCTCAGCCCGTCCCGCTCTGTTAACTTTAAATTTATCATCTTCTACCTCTCTGTCCGACTCGGATGTTTTGTCAAATGTAGATCTCCATCCCGCGCCTCTATAGGGAATGTCAATTTATCTGAAGCATATAAATGAACACCAAACATTTCCAATGCCTCAAACATACCATTTGTATGTGTATTAGTTAGTACGGACTCAATACACTACCACGGGTGTCCATCTGCTGGTTAAACATCATATAGCACCTTTAGCGGGGCATTCAATTCACTTAATCTGCCATCCTTCAGAGAAAATTATTATATCACAAACAGTGCAAGTGTAAACAGCTGCTACCACAAATATAAAAATGTGACAAAATTTGGCTTATTGACTGTAAGGCAAATGCTTCTTCTTTTTCCTGTTATCAAATGTTCAGTTGTTGAACCATAAATTCAGAAAACGTTGCACCCATTTCAGTATCTGTTTTGAATCTCATTTAGCCTATTAATAGAATTATTATAGTGTAATATTTTATTATATATAATACATGAATGCAGTCTTAAAGTCAACAGGCCAAGATTAATGCAATAAACAATTTGGCCAATGTAAACAAATTTGAGCATAAATAAAAACAAACATACACATACATTTACTGAAGACTTTGGCCATCCTGTCTCATAATGAGAAACTGTTCGTATAGAGAGAGAGAACACAAAATAAAGTTACTCCCTCATAAAGAACTAAGGTATTAGCTTTAGTAAATTAAATCACAGTTTAATAGAGGTTTCAGACCCGCTAATTAGGACTTCCAAGATCATTAACAAAGTCTTTTAAGTCTCTTGCTTCATAATCCAAGTCCTTAAATGAAAATAAACGATTACATTTGTATGCTAGAAGGCATGTTTTTGAATATTGAGTCGTACTCTTCTTTTTGAAATTCATTTATTCAGTGGTGAATCAAATTACTTCAGTTAATTCTGCAAAGCCATGAACCTAATTGGAGTTTAATTGCTGTTTGTAAGTTTTCGGGACAAGCAAGAGAGCAGCGTCTTCGGTCACAGGTAGATGCTTCAAATAATGTCATGCACTGGCAGAAAGCTTTATATAAATTGCATATATAGTTCTGGAGGAGTTAGAAATAAAATGTTATTTTCTCTCCAAATATACATATATAGAGGAAGATATTGTTGGCAGACTCAGGATGGAGAACTGTAGTAAGTGTCAAAGTGATGAGCTGTCTGCGCTGCCTTACCATCTGTGCATATGTGTGCGTGTGAACCGAAGAACTCCCAACACAGGCAGAAGGCTTGAGTGTGACAAGGAATACAGCGAGACGCATTATGGTGTCCATCATTGATCGCTTCCTCCCAGGAGTCTTGGCGCCTGCTACCAGGAAACAAAAGGTTAAAATATGATACTCCCCTGTTCTCTCCCCCTCAGTGTCCCAGCAGCACCTCTGTTTACAAATTCACATCGCATTCTCTTTCACTCAGAGTATCCCGCAACCACATCTCCACAACAGAATGCAAACAATACGGTCTTAAAATCCAACATCATAGAGTATTTTCTAAACAAGAAATGCAACAGAAAAACTGTTTTTCTTTCCGTGCGGAAATAATTTCACATGCATAAGGGTTTCTAAAACGGACAAGGACATGCAGCAAATCCTCATGTCTTTTTGCTCAAGTCCGGGCGGGCGCACAGAGCTTAGGGGGCTGAACAGGAGTGTATGGGCTGTGAAGTGAGTAACAGTGAAAGGCAATGACAGGCTGAGACCCCCAAACCCACTGCCTCCTCCTCCCCGCCTCCCTCTGTAAGCTCTGTCTCTCCTCGCCACAGGGCTGACATTGACATGACACTCCCAAAATAATGATCAACAAACACTCCTTGCCGAACGCAAACGGCCTTCTCCCTTCCTCACAGTGTCAGCAGTGATTAACAAAGACCACTGCGTCACTACAGACAGAAACACCTAACGATGGTCTGAATGTTGAAGGTGGAATGCTTTGAACAAATTCATCGTGATCAATTTTCTTATACTGGGCCCTTGTGCTCATACTGTTACCGGAAGCAAAAATACAGACTATATATTGCTTTATAACAGAAACGTAGGAGAAGTGTGTGGGAAAAGTCATTATCCTCACCTGTATTCATGTCTTCAAAAGCCCTACAGACATACCAGGCCGAACTTCTGTTCTCTGACGTTACTGCATGTTACCTTTAGGACACAGAGAAGGAGAAAGAACGATATTACGTCCCTCCACAATTACCAAGCTAAGCGAATATTAAAATGTCTGGCTCCATCAGTCGAGGCTATCGTGATTGGTATTTTAACCTTTGACTACAGTACAAAGGAACCAGCTCTTGGAACCAATATTGGAAGGACGGAATCTAATTCCGGAATGATCCTTAGTAATGAGGGGGCTGCCATGGGGGCTGGATAACGCATATATGAGATATTATTTTGGGGCTGAAAGTGTTGGGGCAGAGGGGGCTCTCCGAGAGTTGAATAATCACAGGCAATGAGGTGTAGCCTGTGTGATAGAAACACCTTACTGTCTTGCCCGAGGACAGCACTCTTAAATCAAACACAAATGATTTTTATCACATGCAAATACCCCTTAGGTTTTTTGTGCGCGTGTCGTGGGGCTTTATTTTCAGTGCAGTGTAAATTTCTGTCTGTGACTTGAATGGACAGTTTGTCATTGAAGAGCTAAAAAAATAATCAAAGCTTAAAAGTGATGTAATATTTTCAATGTTAAATACTTGCTAACAAAACATGCACTGTTTGAGCATCCTGATCAGTGTAACATACTGCTTCAACATTGGCTCAACCAACAGAGTGAGTTTGGAGAGACTTCCTGTTTGTCAGACCAATGGAAGACAGGAAAAAAATTTTTTTAAAACACATTATTTTTGCAGTTCCATTCTGTGTTGATGCTAACTATAACAAATAAAATGTGTTTTTGTTAACTAAAAATAAAGCCGAAATAAAATATAAATATTTGATGAAAAACTACAACTTAAAAAAAAAAACAAGCAGTAAATTAAATTAAATAAGTTGAAGGTAAAATTACTTTTTTTTAAATCTAAAACAAACAGCAAAAATGAAATATTTAAAAACTAATAAAAATGCAAAAGTACATAACAAAACTACAAAAAATGACTCAGAAATTACTTTCACTTTTAACGTTTTGACAAAGTGAGAATGTATGGAGTCAAAATATGCCTGATAAGCAAATGTACATCAGATTTAAAATAAAATAAAATAAAAATAAAATAGTGACATCATTTACTCACCCTCATGTTGTTCCAAACTCAAATGACTTGATGTCTTCTGTGGAAGACAAAAGAAGATATTTTGAAGAAAGTTGTTTTTTCCCCATATATTCATATATGACATGACTAGTAGCCTGTATTGTAAGTCTTCTGAGTGACATGATCATTTTGTGTGATGAAAAGACTGAAATTTACCTCTTCGTTCACTCTCAGTCAAGCCAAATCAAATCCAATCAAATAACTGATTACCTCATGTATACAAATCAAATATGGCAGCACAACACAAGCACCAACAGAAAGCCAAACAAGTTTAGAACGACATAAGGATGAGCAAAACATGACAGGATTTTCATTTTTAAGTGAACTATCCCTTTAAAACTCAAATTCCCTCTCTCTACTCTCCCATGCCCGCTGCCCCAATTAAACAATTCCGGCTGTGTGAGTGACTGGCGGGGGCAGCGGAGACAGGTCTGGCTCTGTTAAAGCCACACTCGGCTAGTCTACCGTCACCCAGGACCTCCGCCGGCTCTATTCCCGGCCCCTAATCAGTGTGTGAGCGTAATATCAGGCTGGGTTAGGTGTCACCATGTTAGAGCCGTTAATGGAAGAGCTCCATCCACTCAGCCGGGGGGACGGCATTACCTCGGGCTGTCACAGTCGGCTGAGGATTGGGACAGTATTACTGCTGGCTTTCATACAACGTTGGTCACTAAACTAATGGGGGCCTCGGCGGAGGAGACGGAGCTGGGAGAGATGGAGATGAGATGGAGAGGCGTGGGGGAGGAGGAGGAGAGGAAATGAGAAGGGGGAGTGGTAAAAGAGAGGGAGATGGAAAGGAGGAGAGGGTCGTCTAGCACCTTCTCCTAATTTGCAGGCTCTAATGTATAGGGGAGTGGGAAAGCTCCTGCTGCTGATAGATTCAATCTGATGTGATTTAAGAGGATGAATGAATAACTTTCTTGAGAGAGTTGAATCCCCGAAATGATAAATGTTAGGCCGAAGACACTTCAGAACATCCAGCATTTACCCTAACGGTTCACACGCCACAATTCGGTGGCATCAGCCTCTCTGAAAGATATCTCTATGCAGGGTGCAGATATGCCAATTCATTTTGTGTCCAAAGATTTGACAAGCTAGACTGAGTCTGAACAGCGTTGGTCAAACGCTCCGCTGCTGCCAATCTCTCTCTCTTCTCCTCCTCCTCCTCTTCCACCCTTACTCCTCAATCTTCTTTTCTCTAGAGATCCTTAAGCCGTTCACCAAGAAATCGAAAAGTCAAGGCAGCAACAAAGACTGTAATATCAAAAAAAGGAGCTAATACCATTTTAAGTGTCAGGAATGAAATGAAAGCCTATATATGCAGCTTTGGAGCGAGAGATAACACCTTGAGAATGGGTGACATCAAGTGAAAAAGAACTGAGGTGGCGGGGGATCAGTGGCCTGGGCTCAGAGTTGAGGAACTGACACTGTCTCTAATACAAGTGTTTAAATATTTGATGCACTGGGATAAAGAGGGCTCCC